GGGGGCCACGGGGGGGACACTGTCTTGAGGTAGCCACAGGGTGCCCACTCCTGAGGGAGCCACGGGGTGCCCAGACTCCTGAGGGAGCCATGGGGCAGCCACACTTCTGAGGGAGCCATGAGGTGCCCATGTTCCTGAGGGGGCCACAGGGGCCACGCTCCTGAGGGAGCCACGGGATGCCACAGGTTTTATTTCCTGGTAGCCCTGACTTGGGGGTCAGCACAGACTCGAATCTCCTGTTTTTGGGGAAAACTGGTCCATTTTGGGATCTCTCGGCCTTCTTAAAGTTTCAGTTGTAGGATGTGATGTTTCGCAGGGGTGACTCCATTCCGACGATGCTGTGGCTGAGCCTAGAGCAGGGCCTGGTCCGACTTGGTGGCACCTGAGTGGTTACTGAGGTTGCCCCGCAGTGGGAGAACGAGGGGAGTGGAGTTCAGAATTTCAGCGAGCCTCTAGCAGATGTCTGTCACAGCTTAGGACTCCCGTGGGGACAGAATATGATGGGATGGTACCTCATCTGGGGCTTGGGACAGATGCCGAACCAGGGGTGCCGGTCGTGGCCTGTGGGGCAGGTCCCGGCGCTCAGACCGCGTGGAGCGCTTGCTGTGCCGCCTTCAGGCGAGGTCCGCTCCGCGCTGCTCCCAGTCATCCCAACATCTGCTGCCTTTGTCACCACAGGGCCGCCTGTTTGCCTACCCCGACACACACCGCCACCGCCTGGGACCCAACTACCTCCAGATCCCTGTGAACTGTCCCTTCCGCGCTCGAGTGGCCAACTACCAGCGGGATGGCCCCATGTGCATGCTGGACAATCAGGGTAGGCTGCAGGCACGAGGTGCCCCTGGGGGGCGGGGGCAGGCGGGGCAGCGGGGGGCCAGGCTGAGTCTGTCAGGCCCCAGGGCCTCCCGGCCTGCGCCCTGGCTGCCGGCGCAGGTTCTCCCAGCCTGAAGCGTGATTGCCTGGGGGCCTCCCGGCTTCCACTGGCCCCTCTGCCAGGTCGCGGGAGGAGCCCTTTCTCACAGCTCAGAAGGGAGTCCGAATCAGGACTTCAGTTCAAAGACGGTGCCGCTCGGTCCCTTCCGTCTCTTACTTAGTCACCAGGATTAGGCCTTCGGAAACGCGAAGGCCGGGAGTTCATGCCGTGGCCGCCACAGAGTAGTGGCTAAGCGCTGTGTGTAGGAAGCTGCGTCCCACACGGCCAGACTGCGCGTGTCGAGTTGAAAAGAGCCACGTCCGATCTCTGACACCCATGGGTGAGGCCACAGCTGAGTGAAGCTGTCAGTCAGTGAAGGAGTGGTGCCGAGGGCCAGGGCTTAGTGGGGCGCTCTGTGACAGACGTGCAGTGTGCGCTGGGCTGGAGGAGCGGGCTCCAGAATCTGGCCCTGCGGCCCCAGGGGCCCTGTGTGACCCTGTGTGGCCCTGTGTGGCCCTGTGTGGCCCTGTGTGACCCTGTGTGGCCCTGTGTGACCCTGTGTGGCCCTGTGAGACCCTGTGTGACCCTGTGTGGCCCCGTGTGACCCTTTGTGGCCCCGTGTGACCCTGTGTGGCCCCGTGTGACCCCGTGTGACCCTGTGTGGCCCTGTGTGACCCTGTGTGACCCTGTGGCCGGCAGCTGGGACCTCAGGGCTTTGTATCTGCCCCTGTGACCGGGAGGACCAGGACCAGAATGTGGGTCACTTCTGGAGTTCTGTGATTGGGTGTCTGAACTGAGCCCAAGGCCACGTGTAACCCTCCAACTTAAAGTGGTCTTTGAGTCTCTGCTGGATGGTGGCCAAGTCACACCCGTACGTGTTCAGACTGGCTGGCTGTGGCGGGGAGGTGTCGTGGGCTAGACCGTGCACAGTGTGGAAAGGGGCCTTGAGACCGCCTCGCTCCGGCTCGGAGGAAGCCAGCGCCGGAGTGCGTGGTTGGAGTCCTCTGAGAACCGCGTGCCACCTGAGCTGAGGGAGCCGGCTGCAGATGGCCGGGGCGTGTCCCGGGATGTGGGTCCAACTGGCGCTGGAGTTCACGGCTCGGTTTCCTACTCCTAAGCCCCCGTGTGGTCTTCCCTCAAGGTGGCGCCCCCAACTACTACCCCAACAGCTTCAGCGCCCCCGACCAGCAGCCCTCCGCCCTGGAGCACTGCGCCCGCTGCTCCACAGACGTGCAGCGCTTCAACAGCACGAACGAGGACAACGTCACCCAGGTACTGGCCTCTGTGGCTGCAGGAGCCGCCGGCTCGGCCCTGTCCAGGCCCGTATGTGGCTGAGGTGGGATTCGGGAAGGCATGCTGAATAGAGATGCAGGCTCCTGGAGGGGTGGAGCTGAGAGCTGTGTCCCTTGGCTCGTCATTGGTTCAAGGCACGGGGCCTGCTGCTAGTCCGCTCAGACTGCGCTGATGGGGTGTAGCCGGGGCCACCGGGAGAGAGAGCTCGTGAAGTCTGGGAAAGGCTGGCCCGTGTCCAGGCTGGAGGACTAGCCCTGGCACCCCGAGGAGCTCGTGGCCCTGGCGCAGGGGCGTGGCCGTCCGTGGCTGCGCTCGCCATGTCCCGCCTGCTTAGAGCCTGGGGCCCCGCCACTGCTCCTGGCCCCCACCCCTGCTGTCCGCTCGCCATCATGGCCTCACTTCTCCAGGCCTCCCTCTTCCCGGTGGCTTCTTTTCCCCGTGCGTTCGGACTGCAGCCACCCTCCACTTCCCGCAGACAGGGAGGGGAGGGCCCTCGCCAGCGGCTCCAGCCCGGCCTGTGGCGCTGGCCTTCATCGGCTCCTGGTCAAGGCTGCCCTTGCAAATGCCCAACCCAGCCCCTGGCTAGCAAGGAGGGCCTGGGGCGGCCGCCACGGCGTGCCCAGCATGGCTCACGCCTCGCCGTGGAAGGCTGATGTCGGCTTCTCCAGGTCTGTCGGGAGCTGCTGAGACTAGCGCTTCCATGAGAAGCTGTTTAGATGCTCAGCTTGTGAAGGCGGGTCCCGAGAAGAGTAGACGGACCGCATAAATAGCTTCACTGTGAGAGGCTTTCTGCTGGAAAGGCATTTATGCATATACGTGCAGACGTTTATGTAAAACGAAAAGTACTGTAGGCCATCCGCTCCATTTAGGTGAACGTAAAGCATGCCCTGCAAGCCTTCGAGAGGAACTGTCACTTCCGGTGGGAGGTGCCACGGTGGGTCCCACTGCGCTCGCTGGCCCCGGAGGCCCTCTGTGGGAGGCGAATACAGGTTTCAAACAGCTGGCACAGCCGCTGCAGAAGCCGGTCACGTAGTGAGGCTCACGCTGACGCGGTACAGCATGCTGCGGCCACCCTTCCGTCCTGTGAGGCTGCTGCCCAGCCCTGTACTTCGGCAGGCGAGGTGCCGTGCAGCCGTGCTCGAGGGACTCCGCCGTACTGGGAGTCTCGGGAAACAGCAGGCTCGGGTCTCCTGAAAGCGGTTCACCTTGATGCCCACTTCTGGCCAGGTGGACCGGCGGGCGAGACCTGCCCTCCTGTGACGAGCACTAGGGCGATGAGCACTAGGCACAGCCCGCATGTGTGTCAGGGCTTCGGGGCTGCTGCAGGGGTCGTGGCTCCGAGACCTCGGGGCAGACTCGAGGGGGGCGTGGCATTTGGTGACGTCCCTCGCCAAGTGTCCCCTGACTTGTGAGTGGCCAGGGCGCCGAGTGCTGGTCTGCCGAGGAGGAGAGACTGAAGTTGTCACCCAAGCTTTCGGGGGATCCCCGCGGGGTCACGCTGAGGAAGAAGGGCGCACAGGAAGTGAGCCTGCTGCACAGCAGCTGAAGCCCGCCTGCCAGTCGCCTCAGGCTGGGTGGAGTGGCGTCTGTCTGGCTGTCTCCCCTGTCTGCAAACTGGACCTTCCGTGGTGGCAGATAGCCCTCAGGTCTTCGCGACCTTTTCATGAGCAAATGCCCGTCTTGGGCAGTAACTGTGAGGACGCCTTGGGACGGAAAATCAGCAAGAGGGGACTGAAAGCCCCAAAGCGCCGTAGAAGCAAACGTACCCGAGACTCAGAGGTGGTGTGTCCGACCCGGGCGTGAAAATGCCTGTAACTGGCGTGCTGAGGATATGGAAAGCAGCATGCTGGATTTACTGAGAAGACTGTGGTCTGTTAAAAAGCGTAAGAACGATGGAATGGGTACGCTGAGCTAGAAAATACAACTGACGTTAAAATGTCATTAGGTGGGCTTAAAGTTTTTTTTAAAGAATTATTTACTTACTTTTATTTATTATTTTTAATTTGCTATAGGGCTCGTGAGCACACCAGAGAGAAACAGAGAGGGAGGGAGGGAAAGTGAGAAAGCGAGCCGCCAGGTATGGGACCGGCCACGTGGGAGTCCAGTGCCTTAACGGCTGTGCCACCTGCTGGCCCCTTACAAGCAGTGTTGATGCAGCCAGAGCGAGGAGTAGCGAAGTGGAGCTGGAGGGACTCTTAGAGAGGGAAACAAGCACTTCTCTCTGTCACAGCACATGTGTAGGGATCATAAGGCCAGCCACAGGTGGGGGCACCTCTGCGGCCCGTCTAGCCACTGTCCTGCCCGCCTGCGGAGCAGCTTGCAGAGACAGGAAGCCGAAGAGCAGACAGGGCCTTGGGCTCTGTGGCCCTTCCTGGAAGAAGACATCTAAGAGCTGAGAGACACAGAAATGTGGCTGACTTCATCACTCACCAGGGACGTGCAGGGTAAAGCCAGGTTGGGACACCACCGCGCGCGCATGCTGGCAGAGCCGGGAGCGGCTCCGTGGTTCCTCGTACCGCCTGGCCCTGCCTGCTGCAGCCGCGGAGCCTGCCTTGGGCCGGCAAGTCCATGGCGCGGCTGCCACGCAGCGGAAACATGGACATGTGACCCGGGGCACCGTTCAGGTGCTCACCAGCAGGAGGGTGGTGACGCACGGCAGCACGTCCCAGTCCGGGCTGGGGCCAGAGTCGCTGCGATGCGGTCACAAGCTTGATGTGGAGCGAGGCAGAGTTATCGACTGTGTGGTCCCATTTGTACGTCTCGTCTCTTCTCATCTTTATTTTTTAGTTTTGCCACAGGCCACGTGAGCTCACCCGTGGGGGTGGGGGAGTAAGACATCGCCCAGCGGGGTGGCCTCGCTACAGTCCCTTCGCTTCCATTTCTCCCTTACGGGATTTGGGCCATGTGTGCACATGCACTTGGTTTTCTTTTCTTTTTTTTTTTTTAATAATTACTTAATTATTTATTTAACTCCATTCTTTATTATTTTTTTTATTTTTTATTTTTTTTAATTTGACCAGAGAGAGAGAGGGGAAGGGAAAGCAAGAAAACAAGCCGCCAGGTCTGGGACTTGAACCGCGGGTCAGCCATGTGGCAACCCAGTGCCTTTAACCACCACACCTCCTGTTGGTCCCCACACCGGAAGTGTTTTTCAAGCCTCTGGGGCCGGGACTCAAAAAGTGTGGTCGGCCCTGTGGGATCCAGGCGCCTTCACCACCACGCCACAGGCGGGTCCTGAGCCAAAACACACTTAGGGTATTCGACGTCAGACAAATAGCCTTTAGGGAGCTGGGGGAGAGAGTGCGTAGCGACTGGGGGGGCTGTGGGTTCCGCGGTGTGGACGATGCACCATGTCGGGCTGGGCGGTGGTCACACAGCGTTCACTGAGAAGTCACGAACGTCACACACACCCGGGGCCTGTTGTAGGCACGTTACACATAAACGAAAAGCTTGGTGAAAACGACCTTCGAAATAGGAATGACGCGTGGAGGTTCGCACAGTGAGAGACAGCTGCAGAGGAGCCGGCAGAGTGCAGCCCGCTGGGACGGGACCTGGGGACCGTTCTGTGCCTGGATCATGTTCATCTTGAAAGTCTGATTTTTAAATGTCAGCTTCAGGTTTAAACTTTGCTCAAAAAAAAAAAAAAAAAAGAAAAAGAAAAAAACACCATAATTTTAGCCTGATGTTTGACAACTTGCTGAGACAGTGCACGTCCCCGTGTGCTATTTCGGTACCATGGCTAGTTGGGTGTGGCTGCACTCCGTGGCAGAGCAGGGCAGGGGCTGGCACCTTACGGGGCTCGGTGCATGCTTGCCGGATGAAAGGTTAGAGTGGGCTCCAGTGCACCCGGAGGTGGCCTAGTTCAGGAATGAGCCCAGGCGACTCGGACTGACACGCACCAGCCCCGTTTTCAGTTTTAACCCGTTGGTGTGTTTTGGGGGTGAGCCCCAATAATGGAGCAAAATGTCTCTGTCACTTTTTTTTTTATTGTCCAAGACACCTTGTTCTGAATTCACTATGGAAATATACACATGTAAATGAAGTAGATTTTCTTCCCTGTGGTTCTGGGTGAACTGACGAAGGTTATGTTGTGCTAAGTTACGTTCAGACGCCTCGCGGATGTGCACTCAGTATCGGCAGGCGGCGGCTTGTTAACCGTGCGCTTTCTGTCTGTCAGAGATTTAGAAGCAGCGAGCACTAAGGACTTGCTTAAAAGGCAGTTAGGAGTTGGCAACAAATGCTTATTTTCTTGTTTAACTTAAAACAAGAAATGGAAACCTCAGGAATGGAAGCGGCAACTTCCATCAGTTAGGGATCCCTCCCTGTCCCCTTCCTCCCGTCTTTGAAAGACATGAAAAAGGACAAGCTCGGTCCCCAGGGTCTCATGCTAACCCACCCGGCTCTCCCAGCCAGCCAGGACCACGGGCTCGCACACGTGTCCTGCCGAGGGTCCGTGCCCCGTCCCCAAGTGGCTTCTGGCACTGCTGAGCACCGCACTGTCCTGGGATTCCCGAACCTCTGAAGCCTTTGACTGCCCGTTTCCCACGTGGCCGGGTGGCCGCTTCTGGGAAGCCGGCTGACAGTGCCCGCCCGCTGCACAGGTGCGCGATTTCTACCTGAACGTGCTGACCGAGGAGCAGAGGCGGCGCCTTTGCCAGAACATCGCCGGCCACCTGAAGGACGCCCAGCTCTTCATCCAGAAGAAGGCGGTAGGTGACACCTGAGCCCGGGTGCCCCCTCCTGGCTGCCAGAGACATTGCACTGGAGGGAACGTCCTCGAAAGGCCATGCCTAAGAGGACTTAAACACATTAGGGCCCGAGTCCAGCTTCTGCGGTGTGTCCCACACCCCCTGTCCCCGTCCCCGATCCCTAGACCAGGACTTCTCTCACTCTCTGGCAGCCTCTGGGCGTCCTGCGGTTGCTGCCTGACAGCCACAGCTGGGGTCAGCCCCACAAACCTGCTCCCGCCATGGGTACCCGATCGGGGCCCACACGTCTGCAAGCTCCAACCATAACTTGGGGGTTCCGGGAACCCACCCTTAGGCTCAGGAACTGGCTGAAGGACCTAGCGCTCGGGCAAGGGCTGCATGTAGGCCTCGGCGTGCTGTGCAGGACTGGCCTGGGGCCCGGCGGCGGCCGAGGTGCCATGCCCCCCTCCAGCGCTCACCAGCTGGGAGCCCCCAGAGCTGCCCGTCAAGTCGGGTCCATGGGCGCTTCAGGGCACAGGCTGGTCGGGCGGGTCGCTGGCGTGGGTGGCAGAATCCCCAGCTCCCCCGTCCCGGGAGTGCGGACTGGGTGGCAGGGCTACCCTCACACAGCGCTGGGCTCCCTGCCCGCCTGCCCCAGGATCCAGTCAGTCACACCACCTCCAGGCTCTGCAGGGAGGGGTCGGCCGGTGTCGTGGTCTGACTCACTCAGGGACGGGTGCTGAGGCTCTGGTCAGTGGATGTCCTGTCCCCGCTCACACGCCGCAGTAGGTCGGAGCTGTCACCGTCCCCGAGAGCCGTGTGGTCACGCTTCCCTGCTCCCGCCAGTGGCGGAACTGTGAGACGGAGACCCCGCGCGGAGGACGGGCTGGTGCTGAGGCGCCTCTCTGTTTGTTAGGTCAAGAACTTCACCGACGTCCACCCCGACTATGGGGCCCGCATCCAGGCCCTGCTGGACAAGTACAACGCTGAGAAGCCCAAGGTGAGTGTGCGGCCGGCCGGGGAGGCGCTGCTCCCTCCCAGGCCCTTGCCTGACCTGCCCGGTCTGGAGCGGCTGGCGAGAGACTCCTAGAGCCTGCCGAGAGCCTCCTAGAGCCTCGAAGCGCACTTCACCTTCGCTCCAGACCACGCTCCAGCCCTGACGGCTCCGCCTTCCAGCACAAACCCCAGCTCAGTAGACCCCGAGCCGCTGCCCCCGGCAGTGACCGCGGGTCTCGCTCTTTCCGCAGAACGCCATCCACACCTTGGTGCAGCCTGGCTCTCACCTGGCCGCGAGGGAGAAGGCTAATCTGTGAGGCCGGGGCAGCTGCCCGTGGCCACCCTCGAAGCAAAGCGCGGCGTTCACTCGGGACCCACCGCCGGGGAGAGCTCTGCTGGGCGCACGGGCCGCTGTCCGCCACCCTAACCGATTTCTATGGCAGAAGAGGTGGCGGAGATTTCTAATCTTGTCCCCTGGGGAAATAAGGGCTGGGCTTAACAGGCTTTTAAGAGAGACGTAGATTTGCTTTGGACAGCTGGTTGGGTTATGTCTGCTTAGAGTAACTAGCAGGAAACTGGCCAGGAATTTGCTTTGTCTTTTGTAAAGAAAAACCCTTGGTGAAATGAATGTGTCCCCGTGTCGTCTCATGGCCTGCTACATAAAATACAGCATAATTATACCGGAAGGAGAGAGAAAGATGATCACTCAGAAATTTTGATTTTTCTAAGAGTCTTATAGGAAAAACACGTTTAACGCACTCGGCTTCAGAAGATGGCGGAGCTACCACGCCTCGTCGTCATCTGTCATCCCTGCTTGCGACTGATCGGGGCGGGTCAGCCCTCAGCACTGCACATGTGCTCACAGCGCTGATTTTACGGCAGCTGCTTTCTAATTGCTCACGTTTTTACAATAAAGTAATCCGTACGTAAAAATGAAGTAGCCTTTGATGTCTTCCGACTCCGGGCTCATTTGACGTTCAGATCGTTGCCCTTAAAGCCAGAGCAGCACCGTGAGCAGGTGCCATGCTCTGCCTTGGCCAGCTGTGCTCGGGCCTCGAGGCGGCCCCTGGAGAGCCCTGCCTGCAAGTCACCAGGGTCCCCGTCCCTCCTGCAGGACCGTGGTTTCTAAGATAAGGGCTCAGAACCGCGAGGAGCGGTCTTTCTTCTTAAACCCGTTTTGCCCTCGTGCTTGAAAATCATAGGAAGGCCTAACAGAGGCGTCGTGAAGACCGAGCGGCAACCCGCTTTCCTTCAAAGCCCTCCCCCTCCATCTGCAGCCAGCCTGCCTTTGCGGGAACCGGCTGAGATGTGATCGTCATGCAGCCGTGGGACGGTGTCGGCACTCTGCCCCTGGCTCAGCCCTGTCCTCTCACACGCCGCAGTTTGGCGGTCGGAAGCATGTGCCTAGAGACGTAGAGATTGCGTTTACCGCCCGCGCCCAATGGTGAGGCCAACCCTGTGGGATGAATGCGTCGACACGACCAGCCCAGCACGGGGAGGAGGTGAGCACGGGGAGGAGGTGAGCACGGGGAGGAGGTGAGCACGGGCTACACTCATCAAGGTACAGATTTGTGTTGAATTCATTGCCAGAGGGCCTGTGTGCTTGCCAGAGAGAGGAGGGGCTGGCGAGCGCGGCCACGCTGCATCCTTTTCCGCCGTCCTCCTCCCTGCTAGGGTTCGGGCATGCGTGTGCACACATCCCATCTGCTTTTCAAGCTGCCAGGGCTGGGATTTGAACTGGTTAGCTAAGTGGGACTGGCCTTGTGTACAGGGCTTGACTGCTGCGCTGTGGGGATGGCTTAAGATACGGTTTTGAGATGATGCTCTACTTTGTTTTGTGTCGTTGCTTAAAAATAAGTGGGAGGTTAAAAGCACGTGGACCTCCCATGGCTTCTGCGTGCGTTTGACACGGAAGCATCCCTGGTTTTGTACTGGAGACCTCCAGTTGTGGCTGGCAGAGACAGACAGTGGCGAGGCTAACTCCCCGGTGAGCTGTGGCTTCCCGGGAGGCACCTGCTGCTTCCGGCCCTCTTTAGTGACCCAGGTGCATCCTGAGGCTTTCTGGAGCCAAACTGACTGGGGGGAGAAACTAGCAGAGCTGGAGGCTGTGACTGCACAAGCAGGCCCTCGGAGCAAGGCCAGGCTCTGTCGCTGCCCGCCTGGGGCCTGCACAGCGGCCTCCCTCCCCCGTGTTAGGCCCTCTCTGAGTGGGGCAACGGGCCCTCATCTCTGGGCGAGCAGCCTCTGCTCGTGGACCTGTTGTCCCCACCGCTCTCCCTGCTCAGCCCCCAGTGCCCGTCTCGGCCGACTCTGGCTCTGTAACAAGCCAGCTTGTGGCTTGGTGTCTTAAAATGACCATCGTGTGGCCCTTGTGTCCAGGCTGCCTGGGGTAGGCCGGCGTGGCCTGTGCTGTGACCTCCCAGCGTCCGCCCCTCCCAGACTGTAGATTTCCCGTAGTTCACAGTGAGTTACTCAGAGCCGGCCTGGGCAGCGGCGGGCACGGCCCCAGGCGGAGTGCC